GTAGCAGTAGTAGTAGTAGTAGTAGTAGTAGTAGTAGTAGTGGTGGTGGTAGTAGTAGTAGTAGTCGTAGTAGTCGTAGTACTAGTAGCAGTAGTAGTAGTTGTAGTAGTAGTAGCGGTAGTAGTAGTAGTAGTAGTAGTAGTAGTAGTAGTAGTAGCGTAGTAGTAGTAGTAGTAGTAGTAGTAGTAGTAGTAGTAGTACTAGTAGCAGTAGTAATAGTAGTAGTAGTAGTAGTACTAGTGGTAGTAGCAGTAGTAGTAGTAGCAATAGTAGTAGTAGTAGTAGCAGCAGTAGTAGTAGGCGTAGGAGTTGTAGTAGTAGTAGTAGTAGTAGTAGTAGTAGTAGTAGTAGTAGTAGTCGTAGTCGTAGTAGTCGTAGTAGTCGTAGTAGTCGTAGTAGTAGTAGTAGTAGTAGTAGTAGTAGTAGTAGTAGTAGTAGTAGTATTAGTAGTAGTAGTAGTACTAGTAGTAGTACTAGTACTAGTACTAGTAGTAGTAGTAGTAGTAGTAGTAGTAGTAGTAGTAGTAGTAGTTGTAGTGGTGGTAGTGGTAGGGGCAGGAGTAGGACGAGGAGGAGAGGGGGTGTTGAACTCGATCAGGGGCTTGCGCTTGGTACGGCTTCAGCCCATTCTTGTCCAGCTGCGCAGTTCCGCAGTTCCGCCGCGTCACTGCATGGCTGTTGCGTCGCAGTGGGGTATTCATGAGGTTTTTTCCCGGTTTGAAGAGGGTCTTGGATACAAGTGCATCTGGTGCAAGCGAGGCCGGCTTCGACTGGCAATGGACCCAGCGTGTGCAGTCATGCGCTTTGAACGCGGCGGGGAAAACTTGGACCGTCCACAAGTTCTCCTACGAAACCCATCTGAGCGATGGGATCCTGCCGTAGCACACTGCTGCAAATTATCTCAATTCAGTGCCCTCCCCCGTCGTTGTTGTCCCCCCATCTCCCCACTCCCTCTCCCTCCACCCCCCGTCTACTTTTGTATGTGTCCCATGAGATTATGATGACGTCTGCCGTTCAGCATTGGCCCTGGTACAGGATCTGTACACCCACCGGCGCGCTTGCATTCCCGTGCCTTTGATTTTTGCATAGCCTTCATTTCAAGCGGTCTCTTGCCGATGCGCCGGCTAGGCGTGGCTTTTTGCGTGCGTGCGAGGATTCTTGGGCCGTCTTTCCTGAAATGCTCGTCTTCCGGATAGGATTTCAATGGTGCTCGAGATTTGTCACTACAAATCCTATTTCTGGGGACGTCACCTGGTCCCGTCGCCACGATTCGGCTCTGACCCTGGGATCCAAACTCTGCACCGGCCCGCTAAAGAATGTGCGCACCGACAATGGTGCGTTCGAATTCCGTCCCAGGTATTTGTTGTGCGTGCCCGCTTGAGGAGGAAGTGGCCTGTGTCAGGCCCGCCCCAAGTGTAGTCCGTGGGTATCCACGGAAGGGTGGTGCGTCCAATGTCCGAACTGCGCTGCGTGCCAGGAGCGTTCCATGTGCATTGCGTGCGCGCCTTTTTTCTAGCGTGTTGCGATCCAAGGTGGGGACAATGGTGCGTCGCGTTTTGTGCTTCATGGGCTCCCAGAGGCCGAGGCCCGCGTCATAACCGCACACAAAAACACGCACACACACACACACACAAACACACACACACGCACGCACGCACGCACGCACGCACGCACGCACGCACGCACGCACGCACGCACGCACACACACACACACACACACACACACACACACACACACACACACACACACACACACACACACACACACACACACTTCGTGCCCTTTGGCATCCCAGAAGCTCTCAAGGAAGGGTGACCCTCTGGCCGCCACGATGGCTTGAGAAAGGCGCACCCATCACGCGCGTGTGCACTTTGTTTTCATAGGTTCGTCAAACGGCTCAAGAGACACGCAATTCGACATCCCTCACGCATTTTGTGCCTCATGGAAGCCGCAATGTGGCCAACCCGTCAAGCACCTCGTATCCTATGGCCCCCAGAGGCTTTCAGCTGACCCTCAAGACCGCTCATGGATGTTATTCCGTAGCCATGCTGGCCCAAGGGATTCACAGAGAATTGTGCCGCGTGCAAAGTTCCTCAGCACAGCACCGGCCAAACGGGCAGCGTCTGACCCTGAGATCCGACGACGCGAACAAAAATGCAGCATTGTGAACAAGCACGACCAGAGCCCCAGTCTCTTTGTTGTCTGCTGCATTTTTCGAGCCGGATCGATAAGTGAGGGCCCCAGCGCCCGAAACAGAGCAGACACGCTTGGCTCGAAATTTTTGAGACGCCAGGATTTCAGGGGAGGTAACACGCTCTGTGGACAGGCCCGACCGCCATGGAGGACCTCCTCGCGAAGGCGGCCGCGGCTGGCATCGTGAACCAGGATCGGGGAAAAACGTAAGACTCGAGTAAGCCGGAATTCGGGTTTGTCGATGTTTTTTGACGAGCGGTCCAGTTTTTCGTGGGATGTTTGCAGCGGGAGCTCGCGTCGAATTTCAGATCGGGTCTCGTCATTTTTATGAAGGCCCCGTCAGGGCAACCCGAGTCCCCCGTACCCGAGTCTTACGTCTCCCCACGTCTCCCCGACAGGAGCAGCAGTACAACGCGACGCCCTCTGCGGAGGAGGTGCCCTCGTTCTCCGGCGTGCTGCCTCCTTCTCGGGCGTTGCCAGAGATGTCCCTCGTTTTAAGGTCTCGCCAGGATGTCTCATGGCGCCAACATCGCAGAGCGGATTTCGTTTGGAAAATAAAAGGATGGGCCCAGAGAGTCCTGGAGAATTTAGTTCCGGATTTCGAAGTGAACTTCGTGCGGATTGCTTTGGCCAGGAATGAAGACTACAACAAATCCACGTGAAACTCAATTCGTTTTTCGCTTGCTGTTTCGGGGCTCTGCATTGACAGAAATCCACGCGACAATTTCTGCAGTACGTCTGCAAGACCTGTAACCTGCGGTGCCGCAGGTCCAATGGCCGCCATCCAGCAGAAAGCCTCACGCTGTCTGCGAGGGCCCCCAGGGGGCTCCAACATGGCGCGACATGCCGGCGGCACCTTGGGCTCCTCGGGGCCACCTCTGGCGGCACCCGGTCTTCGGCCCCCGCTCCCCGCGGCGACCCCGACGCCGACGCCTTTGCGCCGCCCGTGGAGCCGCCGCCGCCTCGTGCGGCCGCCCAGACGCCGCCGCTCGAGCCCGTGCTCGCCCCGCCGGCGGCGCCCGCGGCGCCCACTGTGGATCCCGAGCGCCTGCGGAGGGCCTGCCCTCCGCCGCGGAGCGCCGCCGAGGACCCAGGCCCACGATGCATGACTTCTGCCACGGCGTCGAGCCCCAGAGGTCTCGGCCCATTCTCCGGGGGCCGGCTTTTCTCCTCCTGGCCGTTTTCGTTGGCGGCCCCAGGGCCCGGCGAGGGCCCACAGCCAGAGGCGGACGGTGGCAAGGCACCTCCCCTCCCGCTGGGTGTTGCCAGAAGTGTTCCCGGCCCAGGCCCCCAGGATTTTCAGGGAGGCCCCGGCGGCCTCCATGAGAGCCCCTCACGAGGCTCGGGGGGCCTCCGGGGCCCCAGAGAGGAGCGGCAAGCTGGGGAGCACCTCTGGGACACCTGCGTTTCCTCCTCCTCCTCCTCCTCCTCCTCCTCCTCCTCCTCCTCCTCCTCCTATTCCTCCTCCTCATCATTATCACGACTCGAGGGGGTCTGGGCCCGCGGCGCGCTGCCGAGGAGGCCGGGCCGGCGGGGGGCGCCGCTGGCCCGCCGCGGGAGCCCCCGCCGCAGCCCAGCCTGCGGCGCGGCGCCGCGCCGCCGCAGAGCGCCGAGGGCGCCGCGGCGCGCGGCGGCCCTCGGGGCGGGGCGGCGGGCCGCGGGCCCGTGGGCGCCGCCGCCCCGCCCGTGCCCGTGAGCTCGGGCAGGCTGAGCGTCGGCTGCACGCAAGAATGTAACCCTTCGCCAGGGTGGTTCTTGTCGAAGAAGAAGGAGAACATAATCATGATATGATTAAGAATATAGTGATAATCGTAATCTTAGTGCTGATACGAATAATAATACTGGTCATACCAATAATGATACTAATAACTCTTATGCTGATAGTACTCATACTAAGAATAATGATAAGAAGGATTCGTCAGAAGAAGGCGAAGAAGAAGAAGAAGACACGCCCTATAGACATCATACCTTTTTGGACTCCTCGCGGTCTTCTTGGATCTGCGTTGGGGCCCCGCCGAAATTGTATGCTTATTCCCCAATCAGAGCTTGCCTCTGTAGGGGTCCTAGCAGATTCATATGGTTACGTCAGGTGCGCCGCCGATTTCGGCGGCAGGCTCGGGTGCCCAGGTGCCCGGGAGCTGCGTCGCGGATTTCGGCGGCCCGCCCGGGTGCCCAGGTGCCCGGCAGCCCTATAGCTCCATAGCCCTATAGCCTCATAGCCTTGTATCCCTATAGCCCTACAGTTATATCGCCCTATAGCCCTGTAGCCCTATAGCCCTATAGCCCTATAACCTATAGCCCTATAGCCCTATAACTCTACAGCCCTATAGCCGTATAGCCCCATAGCCCAATAGCCCTATAGCCCTATGATCCCTATAGTCGTATAGCCTTATAGCCCTGTAGCCCTATGGCCCTATAGCCCCATACGTAGCCTCATAGCTGTATAGTCCTATGGCCCTATATCCCAATCGCCTTATAGCCTTATAGTCTCATGGCCCTATAACTGTATCACTCTATATGACTACAGCCCTATAGCCGTATAGCCCTATAGCTCTATAGCCCTATGGTCCTATGGCCCTATAGCTCCATAGCCCTATAGCCCAAACATATTACGATTGTTGTTTCCCTGGTATCATGCAGTTGTTTATTTCCCTATCTTGGTGCGGGCTCATCGGGGTCCCCCCCCGATCGCTGAGCGCGATGCAACAGCGGCTGCTTGCGTGCTTGGACTTGGCCGCCTTGCGCCCCCTGAATCCGCGACCTAAGGTCACCCTTGCCCAGGGTCACTCTTGCGTGCAGCCGAGAGCGGTGGTGCGTCGAGCAGCTCCAGCGTGCTGCCGGCAGTCGGGGAGCAAACAGCTGCAGCATCATGTCTTGGTGCTCTGCACGGATCTCTCGGGTCGGCGCCTGGCCTCCCTGGCGGTGCCTCCGGCACCGACCCAGGAAGTCTACGCGGACCTCCGAGGCATGATGCTCGTGTTCTTGTTTGTGCCTCCAGGCAGGGCGGGGCCTTGTGCCGACGGAGACCTCTCGCCGTGAAGCGATCGGGGTCCCGATCGAGGGAAGCGGGTCCCACATGCGGGGGCGTCTCGCCGCCGTAGGGCGCCCAAGGGCCAGGGGCCCTGGGGCTGTCAAGAGACGGCCCATGGGTGGAAGAGCTGGTCTCGGGGGGGGCGCCCCAGGATCCAGGACGCTGCAGACCCCCGCCGTGATGTGTCTGTCGAAGCGTCGACCCACCAGAGGTCTGGACCAAATCCCCAGGACCAGCCTTTCCTCCTGAGCAGCCGATGTTTGACGGTCCTGCCTGGTGTGCCAGGCGAGGACCCCCAAAGCTTATGATGTTCCAACCGGCTTTTAGCTTTGATCACCAGACATAGTTAATTTCGAGCACCAGGAAAATACCGAAACTTGAGGGTTTCACGTGTCTTTCCTTGAGAGGCGATACTCGTTCGACAATGCTTCGACAGCTTGCTGGGTGCTCAAAATGATTTCTGGGATGTGCTCCATCAGTGCGATGGGAGTAGCGTAACCCAGGGCCCGAACATTGCATAAGTACAGCCTTCCGTCGGGAGTTCTTCCACGACCCAGAGAAGGGGCCTGGGGCCCGTTCGCCACAGGGCCCGCTTCCCGCGAATCTAGGCCTCCGAGCTGGGGTCGGAGTAGAGTTAAGTGGAGCCTGTCCCTTTACAGGAGGAGTATTAAAGCATAGTCACAAGAATCCTACGGGGATGATTGCTCTAGTATTGTTCGGCCATTCTTGGATATCTTTGGGTTTTTGTTTGTAATGTTTCGTCCAGAATCCCCCTGTAGGAGGACATGCCCCACCTAAATCTAGGCCTCCCAGATGGGGTCGGAGTGGATGGGGTCCGAGGATCGCGCTGCATCGCCGGTGTATCGGCGAGGCGGCTCGATGTGGAGCCCGATTCCCTTCAAGCCGACGTCGCCGATGCATCGCCGACGTCGACGACGCATCGCTCGTGCATCGGCGATGTATCGCCGATGCGGCGCTATCCTCCGACCCCGTCTACACGGACCCCATCTGAGAGGCTTTTGTCAAAGGAGAGGAAGTTCGAGGACCTCTTGAGGCTGCTGGTGGAGCTCGAGCGCCTCCTCGCGGACCCGCGGGACCTGGCAGCGCTGGGCCGCACCTACGGGGACCTCAGGGAGTGGACGCGGCTCCACCAATGCGACGCAGACCTGGCCCAGGCCCGAAGAAGAAGAAGGAAAATAAACAAAGAATACGTCACTCCATGGGCATACAGCGGAGGCCCATGCCAAGAAACACCCTGCTTGCCTCCAGGGTGCCCTGGGTTTCTTGGGTTTCGATGGTTTTTACCTAACAGCGAAGACTGATAGGTTTCTAGTGGTGTCAAAAGAGAGCATCTGATGACTCAGAAGGGAGGTCTGGGCGGCATCCGGACAGCGAGGGCCGGGCTCAGGGCCGGGCTCGTTTTAAGCAAACAGTCAAACACTTCGTGCTCTTCGACCTCCCAGAACTCCATTCCCGGGCCACATTTTGAATGCCCGGAGCCAACTGTAGGCCATTTCGTGCTCTTCGACTTCCCAGAACTCCATTCCCGGGCCACATTTTGGATGCCCGGAGCCAACTGTAGGCCGCTTCGTGCTCTTCGACTTCCCAGAACTCCATTCCCGGGCCACATTTTGGATGCCCGGAGCCAACTGTAGGCCATTTCGTGCTCTTGGGCTTCCCAGAATACCATTCCCGGGCCACATTTTGAATGCCCGGAGCCAACTGTAGGCCACTTCGTGCTCTTCGACTTCCCAGAACTCCATTCCTGGGCATGATTTTGAATGCCCAGAGCCACCTGTAGGCCACTTCGTGTTCTTCTAGTTCCCAGAACTCCATTCCCTGGCCACATTTTGAATGCTGCGGCAGGCTGATGCTGAGGCTGAGGCAGGCTGAGGCTGAGGCAGGCTCAGGCTGAGGCTGAGGCTGAAGCAGGCTGAGGCTGAGGCTGAGGCAGGCTGAGGCTGAGGCTGAGGCAGGCTGATGCTGAGGCAGGCTGAGGCTGAGGCTGAGGCTGATGCAGGCTGAGGCTGAGGCAGGCTGAGGCTGAGGCCGAGGCTGAAGGCAGACTGAGGCTGAGGCTGAAGCAGGCTGAGGCTGAGGCTGAGGCAGGCTGAGGCTGAGGCTGAGGCAGGCTGATGCTGAGGCTGAGGCTGAGGCTGAGGCTGAGGCTGAGGCAGGCTGAGGCTGAGGCTGAGGCAGGCTGAGGCTGAGGCAGGCTGAGGCTGAGGCTGAGGCTGATGCAGGCTGAGGCTGAGGCAGCTGAGGCTGAGGCCGAGGCTGAAGGCAGACTGAGGCTGAGGCTGAAGCAGGCTGAGGCTGAGGCTGAGGCAGGCTGAGGCTGAGGCTGAGGCAGGCTGATGCTGAGGCAGGCTGAGGCTGAGGCTGAGGCTGATGCAGGCTGAGGCTGAGGCAGCCTGAGGCTGAGGCCGAGGCTGAAGGCAGACTGAGGCTGAGGCTGAAGCAGGCTGAGGCTGAGGCTGAGGCAGGCTGAGGCTGAGGCTGAGGCAGGCTGATGCTGAGGCAGGCTGAGGCTGAGGCTGGGGCTGATGCAGGCTGAGGCTGAGGCAGGCTGAGGCTGAGGCCGAGGCTGAAGGCAGACTGAGGCTGAGGCTGAAGCAGGCTGAGGCTGAGGCTGAGGCAGGCTGAGGCTGAGGCAGGCTGAGGCTGAGGCTGAGGCTGATGCAGGCTGAGGCTGAGGCAGGCTGAGGCTGAGGCCGAGGCTGAAGGCAGACTGAGGCTGAGGCTGAAGCAGGCTGAGGCTGAGGCTGAGGCAGGCTGAGGCTGAGGCAGGCTGAGGCTGAGGCTGAGGCAGGCTGAGGCTGAGGCTGAGGCTGATGCAGGCTGAGGCTGAGGCAGGCTGAGGCTGAGGCCGAGGCTGAAGGCAGACTGAGGCTGAGGCTGAAGCAGGCTGAGGCTGAGGCTGAGGCAGGCTGAGGCTGAGGCTGAGGCAGGCTGATGCTGAGGCAGGCTGAGGCTGAGGCTGAGGCTGATGCAGGCTGAGGCTGAGGCAGGCTGAGGCTGAGGCCGAGGCTGAAGGCAGACTGAGGCTGAGGCTGAAGGCTGAGGCTGAGGCTGAGGCTGAGGCAGGCTGAGGCTGAGGCTGAGGCAGGCTGAGGCTGAGGCTGTGACTGCGACTGCCGTTGCCACTGCGACTGTCATCGCGAATGCGACTACGACTGCGAGAACAGCAGAATTCTACAACTGGATTATCATCTGAATCTTGAAGGGGAATGCTTCCAGATATGCTCCTACACATCGCTGTTAGGTTGCTTTGCCGGGATAATACTGTGGAAGGCGTGACGCTCCCACACCAAAAATCAATGGACATCCTGGGGTAGGGTTGGGTGTCTCGTAGAAGGTTTCTTGTGGTCGGCCCCTACTGCACACGGAACTCCCTTCTAGGCCTTCTAGATGGGGTCCGAGTAGATGGGGCCCGAGGATCCCGCCGCATCGCCGATGCATCGGCGATGCGGCTCGATGTGGAGACCGTGTTTCCCCACGCCGACGTCCCCAATGCATCGCCGACGTATCCGATGCCTCGCCGATGCATCGCAGATGTGGCGCCAATACATCGGCGGTGTATTGGCGATGCTGCGCGATCCTTCGACCCCATCAACTCGGACCCCATCTAGGAGGCCCCACCCATGGACACACACTTTCGGAGGTCCGCGCGGATTATTTCTTTGGATCGGCACTGGACCCCCCTCCCTGGCGCGCGGAGCGCGCCAGGCGCGGCGCTGGATGTGCCGCCAGGGGGATCCAGCGCCGACCCAAGAACCCCGCGCGGACCTCCAACAGTCTGCCGTGCGTTCTGTTCCTCCAGGTTCGGGTATAGCCAGGGCCCCAGGTAAGGGGACCCGGTTCGTAGTAGGGCCCCGGAGCTCCTCAGTGGGCCAGGGTCACTAAAACCAGGTCTGCCGTAGCTGGTCTTTTTTCGGGTGACGGCAATTCCGGTTAGTGCGACGGGGCGGGGGGGGGCGTACCCCAGTACACATCACTAAACCAGGTCCCGCTAAGCCCAGTTCTGCCAACGCCCGACAGGTGCTCGACATGCTGCACGGCCGGTTCCCGGCGTGGCGACGGCAGGCACTGGAGGAGCCGCCGGGGAGTGTTTGCCCCAGGCCCGAGGTGTCCACAGGATGCTCGGGCCGGACGAAAGGGGAGGATAGGGAAAGGGGGGGGGGTACGAAATCTGCTGCGTGCAGCTGGTTTCGGCCCCACCGAGGGGCCCATTCCTCGATACATGGCCGCCTCTGGCGCCGAGAGGCGCCGGGAAAATCAGCTACGTGAGCTGATTCTCAAACCCCCCCCCTTTGCTATCCCCCCTTTCGCCCAGCCCGACCCAAGCAGGCCGCCGCGGCCTCCCTGGAGCGCTCCCTCGCCAGGCCCAGGAGGACCCCCAGGGGCTCCCAGTGGCGCGAAGGGCTGGGAGCACCTCGGGCCAGGGCCACGTCTGGCAACCCCCAGCAGAGGCTCACGTCGGGCAGATCCCTCCAGAGGAGGACCACTATAGGAACAGTAAACCGATAGTTTGGTGAGGATGGTTCGTACTTCTGGTGTCAATGTTTGAGAATACTTTGGCCATGGTTTATTTGTCTTCCAGGCAGCGGTCGACGCTGAAACTGGCGAGCGCAGCAGGAGACAATGCACACCTCGAGCGTCTCCTGCCTTGCGCTCCAGCTGGAGGAACGGAAAGGCACCCTGCGACCATGCAAGCATTAGCACGGACTATTCAATGACGTTTTTCCCCGTATCCAAAGGAACCGCTTGCAGGAGGACATGTCCGACCTAAGCCCAGGCCTCTGGCGTGGACCGCCAGAGGTCTTGGCCCGCTCCCCGGGAACAGCTTTTCGTCCTGCGTCGTTTCTTGACGGTCCCGAGGCCCGGTAAGCGGCAACGGTCCCTGGAGGCCGAACATTTAAAATTACTCCGATTGTAGGATTCCACGTGTCATGGCGCCAACATCGCAGAGCGGATTTCGTTCGGAAACACGAGGCTCGGCCCGGATTGTTCTGGATAATTTCGCTCCCGATTTCGAAGCGAATATCGTGCTGATCTTTTTTGGCCAGGGATGAAGACTACAAAGCATCCACGTGAAATTAATGTCGTCGTCCGCACGCCGTTTCGGGTTTTGTATTGACAGAAATCCGCGCCAAAATCCGCTGCAGCACGTCTGCAAAGTCGGTGCAGAGCATCTGCTTCGTTGGTCCGAAAATAATCCTCACGTCCGTTCCGTCCCATCCCTGGGGTTAGAAAAATGACGTACGGGCCCCATAGGTAGGGGGGGGGGCTCCTGCTAGAGACGTCCTCACAGCTCACTCACAGACGAGGCTCCCGCTCAAGACTTCTTCCATACACTATCCTCAGGTGCTCGGAGGTGACGACAGTTCGTTACACATGTCGAACGACCCGCTTGGATCAATAACCTGATCTGCGGGCCCCATGGGGAGGGGGCTCCCGCCTGAGACTTCCTTGCGCTTCACTCACAGACAAGGTCCCCGCCTAAGACTCCCTCAAGATTCCAGCCTCAGTGGCCCAAGAGTGACGACAGTTACAGGGTTCGAAGGACCCGCTCGGATTAGTGACGTGACTTGCGGGCCCCGTAGGAAGGAGGCTCCCGCCTGAGACTTCCTCTTCTTCACTCACAGACAAGACCCCCGCTTGAGACTTCCTGAAGATCCGAGCCTCGGACCCCCCAAATTGACAACAATTACAAGCTTTCAACAACTCGTTCGGATTAGTAACATGATCTGCGGGCCCCGCAGGGAGGGGGCTCCCGCCAGACTCTTCACGAGTCACTCACAGACAAGGTCCCCTCCTGAGACTTCCGCTGACTCAGGCCTCAGGGGCCCACAAGTGACGACACCTACAGGTTCCGAGCGACCTATGCGGACCAGTAATATGATCTGCGGGCCCCATATGGTATGGGCTTCCGCCTGAGACTTCCTCGCACTTCACTCATGAGCAAGACGCCCTCTTGAGACTTCATGAAGATTCAAGCCTCGAGGCTCCCAAAACGACGACAGTTACAGGGTTCGGATGACCCGCTCGGATGAGTAAAATGTTTTGCTGGCCCCATGGGGAGTGGGCTCCCGCTCCAGATCCCCTCACAACTCACCCACAGACGAGGCCTTCGCCTGAGACTTCTCAATGGCCCAAGAGTGACGACAGGTTCAATTCTAGTTCGCAGGACCCGCTCGGATTAGTAACCAGATTTGCGGGCCCCGTAGGGAGGGGGCTCCCGCCTGAGACTTCCTCGCGCTTCACTCACAGACAAAGCCCCCGCCTGAGACCCCCTGAAGATTCCAGCCTCAGTGGCCCAAGAGTGACGACAGTTACAGGGTTCGAAGGACCCGCTCGGATGAGTAACATGTTCTGCCGGCCCCATACGCGGGGGTTGGGGTGGAACAGGGGCTCCCGCCAGAGACCTCCTCGCGATTCACTCACGGTCGAGGCCCCCGCCCGAGACCTCCTGAAGACTCCAGCCTCAGTGGCCCAAGTCACTCACAGACGAGGCGCCCGCTCAAGATCTGTTTCATAGACAGTCTTCAGGTGCCCAAAAGCGTGGACAGCCACAAGGCTCGGGTGACCCGTTCGGATTAGTACCATAATCCCCGAGCCCCATCGGGAGGGGGCTCCCGCCTGAGACCTCCTCGCAATTCACCCACACAAGGCCCCCGTCTGAGGCCCACACACCAGTTACAGTTACAGGGTTCGAAGAACCAGCTCGGATTAGTAACATGTTCTGCGGGCCCCATAGGGAGGGGGCTCCCGCTCGAGATGTCTCCACTGATCATCCATAGACGAAGCTCCCGCTCGAGACTTCCTCCGTCTGAGTGCGTGTGTGCGTGTGTGTGTGTGTGAGTTATTCAGTGAGTGCGTGAGTTTGTGTTTGATGATGATGACGATGAAGATGATGATGGTGATGATGATGGTGATGATGATGGTGGTGGTGATGGTCATGCTGGTGGTGATGGTGATGGTGATGATGATGATGATGCTGATGATGATTATGTTGATGCTGATGGTGATGATGGTGGTGATGATGATGACGATGACGTGATGGTAGGTGACCGATGATTCTCATTGTGATGCTGCTGATGGCGATGGTGCTGCTGGTGGTGATGATGCCATGGGTGTGTTTTTGGTCCTGCGCGGGAGTGTCCAGAGGAAATCACTCCAAGGTAGAACCCCTCACGATAATCTATTTAGTTTGCCCCTCGCCCTTGCCTCTTCGCCCTGGTGGGGGCCTCCCTGCCGCCCTCTGATTCGGCTCCTCCTCCTCATCCTCCTCTTCCTCCTCGTCGTCCTTCTCGTCGTCCTCGTTAAACTGCTTATCCTTCTCCTCCTTTTCCTCCTCCTCCTCATCCCCCTCCTCCTCCCCCACATCCTCGTCCACCTCTCTCTCTCTCTCTTGCTTTGTCCTTTTTGATTTTTACATCTGTCTCTCTCTCTCTCTCTCTGTCGTTCTCTCTCTCTCTCTCCCCCCTCTTTCTCTCCTCATCCCCATCACGCCTCTTCTCTTCATGCACTTCTGCTTCCCCCTGGCCGGGCCACGCAAGTCGATGTTCTTTGGCGCCAGCGCCGCCACGGCCAGCAGGGGCGCGTTCTCCGATAGCCGCTGCGGGCCAAACTGTTGGGACAACCCCGCGTGCCGCTGAGGCGCGGGAGCAAGCGATGGGGACTCGAGCTAGTCGCGGCCGCGCTCAGGCGGGAAGCAGCGCGAAGCCCAGCTCGACCGCAAGCGCAACAGTGACGACGTCTAGAGGATTCAGATGGCCCCGCTCGGATTCGAAAAGGAAGCGCGGGCCCCATGGGGAGGGGGCTCCCGCCCGAGATTTTTGTTCGCCGTGTACTCACGATTTGCTCCCATGGGGCGCTCAAGTGCAATGCCTTCTGGAATACGCCCCTGCCTTGGATTCGAACATGAAGTGCGGGCCCCATAGGGAAGCGGCTTCCAGTCGATGAGTTCCTCGCCATTCGCCCACAGACGAGGTCACAGCTCCAGACATCTTCACGATTTGGGCTCACAACGGCTACGTTTGATAGAATGTTCCGATGACCCGTCTCGGATGAGGCTCCAGCTCAATCCATCTTCGCCATTCACTCACAGACAGGGCCACGATTCCGGTCCTCGTCACGGTTCGCGCTTTTGGGGTGCTCAAATATTTCGCCTGGTCGACTATGCCGATGACCCGCTCGGACTAATAACCTGACCTGCGGGCCAGGACGGGAGGGGGCTTCCGCTTGACACTTCTTTTCTGCTCGCTCACAGCCGAGGCCCTCGATGGGTTTGGCACATCCTCACGATTTGCGCCCTTGTGGTGCTCAAGTGTTATACCGGGTTGAGTATGCCGATGACCCGTTCGGATTCGTAACATGACCTGCGGACCCGGTCGGGAGGGGGATTCCGCTTGAGACATCGTAGAAATTCAACCACAGACGAGGACACGCTCAAGTATAATACCTGGTAGGGTATGCCGACGACCCATTCGGATTAGTAATTTGACGTGCTGGTCCCATAGGGAAGGGGCTCCCGCGTGAGACCTCCTCGCTATCCAGTCACAGACGGGATTTCGATCGAGGCATTAAGTGCTATGCCTTTCGGAATATGCCGATGACCCGCTCGGATTAGTAAAGTGACCTGTGTGCCCGGCAAGGAAGGGTATCCCGTTTCCGCTTGAGACGATGATGGGGATGGCGAGTGTGAGAACATGGTGTGGCCATTATGTGTGTGAGAACCTGGTGTGTGTGTGTGCGATGACGATGATGATTATGCTGGTGGTGGTGATGGTGACGGCAGTGATGGTGATGATGTTGTTGTGGTTGGTTATGATGATGAGTGTGGGAGCGAGTGTGGATGATGATGAACATGATGTGGATGATGCTGATGATGATGAAGATGATAGTTATGATGGTGATGATGCTATCGTGGTGCTGATGGTGACGATGATGATGATAATGGCAATGGTGATGGTGAAGAATGGCGATGATGATGATAATGGCGATGGTGAAGAAGTGATTGGGGAGGAGAGGAGATCTTGCGCGGGGGGTGCAAAGGAAATAACCATTTGGGATGTGGGGAGCAAAAAAAAAACCTCAGGATGTGCGCAACAACTGCCCTGTTCGTGAATACTTCATGACCCGAGGGGGTCTGGGGGGAAGGAGGCGTACCGGCTCTTCTTCGACGACGTCGCGAGGGAGCGGGCGGTCACGCGCGACCTGCCAGAGCCCCCGACGTCCGAGGAGAGCGGCTTCCGGCGCCTGCCCGACGACCTCTTCTCAGGGCCCCCTAAATCGGGACTTCGATAAACCAGGACATTGGCGCGCCCTAGATAGTTTCAGCCCTGGGTCAAAACATTCTTCGTTCTCTCCGGGTGGATTTGTCAGAGTCCTGGCTAGCAATGTCCTGGTCTAGGGGGCCTTGATCTTCAGCGCCGAGGTGGCCGCCGGCAGGGCACATTTCCAGGGCGTGTTCGAGGACAGATCTCCCTGCATGGTGTACGTCAAGAGGTACCGACCAGCGGAGAACATCACTCTGAGATCCTGGCGTTTCAATTTTGTTCGAGCGGGGCGTTTTCGCCCAGTCTCGGGCCCCAGAACCCACACAGATCGATCCGGCTCGAAACATGGCGCAGGGAGGTGGGGTCTACAGGGCTCCGGTCGCATTCGATTGCGATGTTGTATTTTTGCTTCGGCACGTCGGATCTCATGGCATGCCCGCGCCCTCGTGGTCTGGATTGCGCGATCCCGTGGATGCGCGGTCGCCCGGATGCGCAGGCTCCGCGCGGGGCAGCCGCCAAAGAGTGCCTCGTAGCCATGGGGTCGAGGCCAAGGGGCCCCGGCCCACCAGGTCTCGCGTACACCTGCAGGTCTCGCAGGTGGGGTCCGAGCAGATGGGGTCGGAGGATCAGGTTGCATCGCCGATGCATCGGCGATGCGGCTCGATGTGGGGAGGAGGAGGAGGAGGGGAAGGAGGAGGGGGAGGAGGAGGAGAGGAGGAGGAGGAGGAGGAGGAGGAGGAGGAGGAGGAGGAGGAGGAGGAGGAGGAGGAGGAGGAGGAGGAGGAGGAGGAGGAGGCCATGGGTCGAGGGGCCCCGCCCCTCGAGGTACGAGTACCAGATCCGGGCCGTCAGGTGCAGGGGCGCCCCGTGGCCCGGCCGCCAGATCGTGGACAGGGCGCACGAGGACCGAGGGAGGAGAAGCGGCACAGGCAGGGAGCCGGGCGTGTCCATCTACGGGAGGAGCACGTAAGAGTAGGCCAACCTTTCCGACGGCAGGACCCCGCATGCGAATCTGTTCGAGTTGCCTAGGGAGCTCCTCCTGCCCCCTCTCTTCTCCCACCTACTCCTGCCTCCTCCTTCTCCTCCTGCCTGCTCCTCCTCCTGCCTCAATCCCTGCCTCCTCCTCCTCCTCTTGCCTCCTCCACCACCTCCTCCTCCTTTTCCCTCTCCCTCCCTCCTCTCCTCCTCCTCCTCCTCCTCCTCCTCCTCCTCCTTACAATTATTCAATATGAAAATACTCTCCCTCTTCCCCTGATGGCGTCCGGGTGATGGCCGCGCACCCTCCGCGTACTGTTTTTTTACACAGGATGCCCGGGAAATCCCGGGAAACGACTCTCGCTGAGGCGCCGGCGTCATTTTTTCCCAAAATGCTGCTCTCGTTGAGGCGCCGGCCTCATTTCTGCTCCCGAATCGTTCCGAATCGTGCTCCCGCTGCAGCGTGGGCCTCATTTTCGGATCGGTGTTTGGCCTCCGTCGTTCAGGATGGCGTTCTCGCCCCAGCGCGGGCCTTCTTTCTCGCGCGCCCATCCGCCCGCCACCACCGCGCCGCACCGCCACCACCACCACCACCACCACCACCACCACCACCACCACCAACCACACCACCACCACCAGCACCACCACCACCACCACCAGCACCACCACACCACCACCACCCACCACCACCACCACCACCACCACCACCACCACCACCACCACCACCACCCACCACCACCACCACCACCACCACCACCACCACCACCACCACCACCACAACCACGCACACACGCACGCACGCACGCACGCGCACCACCACCCACTACGCACGCGCGCGCGGAGCCACAGGTCCGCTACGACACGCGTCCGCGGATAGAGAAAATCAGCGCCATGGTAAGGGATGGGAGGGAGGGGTAGGACGTCAGATATGACGCGAGCGCACCTAGCTTGCCCCTCCCCCTCTCCTCCTCCTCCTCCTCCTCTCCTCCTCCTCCTCCCTCTCCCTCTCCCTCTCCCTCCTCCTCCTCTCCCTCCTCCTCCACCTCCTCCTCCGCCTCTCCTCTCCTCTCCTCTCCCTCTCCTCCTCGCCTTTCCTCGTCGTCTCCATCTTCCTCTCTCCTCCTCCTCCTCTCCTCCTCCTCCTCTCCTCTCCTCCTCTCCTCCTCCTCCTCCTCCTCCCTTTGGCCTCCTGGGGCCTCTTGGGGCCCTGGGCCTTTTCTGGGCCTCCCGGGACCTCCTGCTGCCTCCTAGGGCATTCCTCCTCCTCCTTCCCTCTCCTCCTCCTCCTCGTTCTCCTCCTCCTCCTCCTCCTCCTAGGCGTCAAGCGCCGCAGGGGCCCCGTCTTTACACGCCTCACCGCACCCTCTTCCGAACTTTTACCTGCAGCGCGATGGCACCTCCTTCTTCTTGAGGAGCCCCTTCCAGCGACGTGGAGTTATGATGCAGCGCTGCCTCTCCCTTCTCACACATAATGTTTGTTCTCTTGTGCAGCCAGGCAGAGCGCATAAAAATTCTATCGCGTATGACAAGAAGGATATATGTTTTATCACTGGTACGAGAGTGCGCATGAAGATGACGGACGCACCATGTTGTAATGTAGTTGATGATGCCGCCAATGTGCTCAGTTGGGGATATAGCAGGGGAGCATTCACGAATGGACACGCAGGGGTGCAGATTCGCTTGAGGAAGGATCTCTTTCGTCCAAAGCACATCGTTGCTGTACATTCTCCACCAGCCTCACTTCAAGGCCGTGGTGGTGCGGTAGTTCTACGGTCAGGCCGCTTTCATTTATTGGCATTTGTTCTGTATTTTCCTCCTCGGTCATCCAGTGCTAAGCAGAGAAGTGTATATGAGAAGACAGTGCAGGCCTTGATTCGATGGATGACCGACGTAGCCAACACAGCCCCTGCGAGATGCTCCATTATCTTTGGTGGGGACCTCAATGACCACGCTGGAGTTCCCCACGCAGGCCATGTTTCCACGGACTTCGACCCGATCGGCCCGCTTTTCCCGAAACCTGAGAAGTACGGTATGAGGCAGATGCGGGACTTTCTGGAACAAGTTGGGCTTTGTCTGGCTAATACTTATGTTGGTGGGCAGGATACTTACTTTGGGGCTAATTCTAGCAGTCGTGTGGATGATCTTGGGATCCCAATGTCTTGGTTATCCTCTGTCACTCAGTGTAGGCTCCTTCAACGTCTTGGGCGCAGGCTCCAAATGGTTCCGACGGTTAGGCGATGGGATCACTGGCCCCTCCAGATCCAAGTCCATTATGTCCTTAGCTTTCCCCAAGTTCAAGTCACCAAAGCTGAGTCTTGGGACGTCGATCGGCTGGTTGACGGTTGTGTGCATGGCCTCTGGAGGTCTCAGTTCTTGGGCGATGTTGAACGAATTTGCTATGAGAAGTATCCCACTTGGGTACAACTGGAGGCCCAAGCGACCCCTGATCGTGCTTGGGAAGCGTTTGTTCAGGACATCAAAGAAGTTGGGCTCCCCTACTTCGCTCGACACACTCAGGAGGATTCTGATAGGCTTCAGCGCCAGGCACGGCAACGAGAGCTCCTCCAACGGCGCTTTGCTCTACGAGAGAGGCTCGCACAGTTGCCAGCAGTGCTCATTGCCGAGTCGCCTGAGTTCAGTGAGCTGACGGCGACCCAGCACGCCTTGTTCTCTCTCACGCGTCAGCTCAAAGCTGAGCGAGACGCCACTCGCGGGCAACACACAGCCCAACTCGCAGGACTTATCAAGGAGGCATGGGAGGAGTCGAAGTGGTCACTCGTTCATCGGCTGTGCCGTCGCCTAGCGCGCACTACTGTGGGACCAGGGCGTCGTTTTTTTTATATAAAAAACAGGCCATTTGCATGCGTCCCACCGTTCAGATGTGGACCGCGCATCTCGGCCAGCCAGGCCCTGCAGGCGGTCAGTCAGCGATTCCAGTGCAGCTTAGTGAGTTCCCAGAGGACCGACAGGCACCTGGTTCTGGACGTCGGTTTTACAATCCTGGTTTTCAAGATGATGCCGTATCGGACCTCCAGGGAATCTCTAGCGCGTTCCTTCGCATGGCTTATCGGAAAAGTTCCCCACCCTGGAGCCTACCCATGGAGATTTTTCGGATGATTTTCCTACCGCATCACCGACGCCCCCAGTATAAGGACGAGGCACGAGGATTTCAAGAAGCGAACCCGTCGATGGAATGGCTGTCTCGGAGAGTTCGGGGATTCTTATCGGATGTACGAGGTGGGGGGCGAATTCCTATGGATTGGCATCGGTCTTGGGGCTGCTGTATTCCAAAGCCGACCACAACTATTTCTGGACTGAAATCTGTTCGTTTAAGACATCGGATGTGCCCCTTCAGTAAGGCATATGCGAAGCATTTAGGCATTCGAGGTGATCAGTGCTACCCAGAACGAGACTATTCGCACCATCTGCGCGGCGGAGTTCGGCACCGACTCCGAGAGCCTGCGATCAAGATCCAGCTCATTGCGAGCTGGCGATTGGCCCGCCTCCGCAAGTCGCATCGCACACTCTTTTTTGATCAGGCCAATGCCTTCGGCAGTATCCGCGCAGACATCCTGGGCGAAACCGACTACTTGCACATGCACCCCGAGGACGTGTCTTTCTGACATCACAGCAATCATCTTAGCACGGTTGCTCTGGGCGGGTCCGATGGGGCCGGCGCGTTTCAAATTCAAGAAGGGGTTCTCCAGGGACATCAGTCTGCGCCCGTGAAATACATACGTAGCTACGATCGCAGTGTGCTGGTGTCTTGGCTAGAGGCGCGCAGAGCCAGACCCGGAGGACAGGCCCTCATGTGCACGAGCCCCATGAATGACATTGAGGATTTTACGATTGACTTATCTACTACTGTATATCTTGATGATACTGCACACAAGGTCGTGGCCATCTCAGCCGAGGCGATGGATGGCGAGACCCGTCATGCCACCAACAGTTTGGTTCAGCTGCTAGCACAGGCAGGCGGCGCTCTTAATTTTGACAAGCAGGTCACGGTACCGCGGTTCGTGGGGCCTGGCGCTTTTAAGGAGTCTCGTGCGTTTACTGACCCCCTTCGGGGTCTTCCAGGCACAGTGAGCACGCATGCGAAGTATCTCGGCGTTCAGTATGCAGGCGCAGGTACAACAGCACTACAGCGACAGTCCATCCTCAAGAACATGCGCAGTGCGTGGCATTCAATGGGACGGTTCTGGTTTGTCATGCATGTTCCGTTGCGTATTCAACTTCTTGTGTTTCAAGCACGCGTGCAGTCAGCAGGTCTCAGCGGTCTTGAGGCGTTCATTCTCTCGCCCATCGACTTTAACCTTGTCGACGGGCTGCTTCTCAAGTGGGGTCGCGCGTTGCTCAAAGGGGCAGCCGTGCGGGAGATTCCGATGGCAGACGGCACACTCAAGCACGTCGCCCTCCCCCCGCACCGAATTTGGGTCAAGCTTGGGCTGATCCCGACGCAGCTGGAGCTTCGCATCAGACGATTGCACTGGCTACAACAGCTGGCGCGGCACCGCCGTGAGAATCTCCAGCTTCTGGCGGCTCTTTTCGGCCAAATGAGTGGGGAGGAGCGAGCCACGGTTGAACAGTGTACCCTTGTTCGAGATGATGCTGGGCTCTGTACTGGGAACCCCATGGGCACTCCAGGCCTTCAATGACCTCAAAATGCTCTCGCTGGTTGAACGGGGCCCTGAGCTTCTAAGAGATCTTGGCCATATGTTATTTCGCGTGTTCACGGAGGAGTTTGGAGTGCGATTTTCGGAACTCAATATCGGCCAGTTTCGGAAACTGTTTTGGGAAGGACGCATTGATGAGAAGGGGGTTCGAAGAGGACAAGGAGTGGGGCAGGGGGTGCAGGATACTGGAGGAGAGGATATATCTGACCCCGTTCCACTTCCTCCCCCTCGTGTTTGGCGATGTCCAGAATCC